TTTCAACATTGCTTTGGAGTTGAATGCTGAAAGGTAATCATAAGATTTATGTGTGTCTACTTAGGGTTATGGAAAAAAGTATACTTCATCATAACTCAGAAATTATTTGAGTAACTAGTCAGACATTAATAAGTGAACCACAAAGAAAGGGTAGCTTGGCTTTTGGTTACCAAAAATCTGCAGTTATTGTTTATGTATTGGGAGATCTATACAGGATAAAGTGGTCTGCATGTTAGCAATACACTGCTTTGAATCACAGTGGCTGAAGCTGCAGATTATGCACTTAATGTTAGGGAGATTTCAAACTGAAGGGAAGACATAAAGCAACCTCCTCGGGACAAGGCTCTGCGGTACATCTACACCTTATGGACAAAGGACATTCTTTTGAGGACCAGACTGTTCACATTTTGCACATCGCAACCCCAACCCCTGTACAGGAGAGCAGAAAACCTCGCCTATTCAGCCAGGCCAACAAATCCCTTTAACTCTTTCATAGACTTAGACAGGTATGGGGCATTGCAGGCTAACAAAAGAAGCCAAACGATATCCATTCCAAAGGGGATATAGGTAGCATATTCTTAAAATAAATTAAACCTGGCCTTTTAACAGGAGTTAAATATGTTAATGTTGATACCACAACTGCAAAAAAAGAAATCACAAAATTTGTACCTCAAATACTAAAATAGATATGTTTTCTTAATACCACTAATAGGTCTTACAAAACCTATTATTTGTCATGATCTCTTTAAAATAGTTGAAAAATGTACCCGATTGGTATTGTGATGATTATTTAGAAGGAAATCTACAATATTATCTTCTTCACCGCAGCAACGTAGGAAAAGAAAAAGCAAAAGTCTTATTTGAATCTGAAACAGACCAAATTTGATGCACCTTCAGACATGCACTGAACCAGTCACAATGTTTGGACTGATTCTTTCCCTGATCCACATGACTCTGCAGGCGGATGTAAGTACTGAGTTTAGAGCAGCAGAACAAACGTCCTTTTTTGAGTGCTGAAAACTGTTTCCTCTGCATGAGAGTGGGCAGCTTTCCCCCCACTTTTTGGCAGTTACTTGTTGACATGTGTCAAAACAAACTGTTTCTTTCTGAATATGCTCCTTATATCACATATATGAAAAGCTAAAGGTCAATCTTTTATTGTGAGATATGGTTAATCCAAAAAAAGGGATGAAAGGATCTTTTTAAAGGCCTCAATGGTATGAATCAAACAAAGAGTACATAAATGTCCAATTGGTGCAGTAGGTGTCCCTTTTGGATTCCCACCTACTTTCTGAGGTGCATATCTTCTTTCTGCAGTGATAAGCCCCCACAACCATATGTTGCAGCCCATATAATGTGCAGTTAAAGCATAGTTTTAAGGATTACATCTGTCCCTTTCACCATAAGTTCAATACTTAAGTCTTTCTCTCTTAAACGGACATGCCTACAATAATTAAGGTCTGTGTCGCTGTGTGCACCCACTGATATCTAGCTTTTTTTGTTTTCTATTTGTTGTTTTGCTTTCTCTCTTCAATTAACTAGAATGATAAGATTTTTTGGCTGTATTTTATAAAACTGGAATGAAAAACCTTTTTTTGATCAATAACCATACATAACTATTAGTAAAAAGACAAAGAGAACGACGTGAGGTTGTAGGGGGATAATGGGGCAGTATGTTTTTCATAATTATCTCATGAACAAATGTATTTACCTGTTGTTTTAAGGTATTTAATATGTAATAAAAACACATAAACTGCATGATTGTGTTTCTTCAACATTAGCAGAACTTTACCCAAGTTCTGTTCTTATTTAGAGTTTCAGTCTGGCTTTAGAGCTCATCATAGCACTGAAACAGCTCTGGTGAAAGTCACTAATGATATTCTCATGGCCTCAGATAATGGACTTGTATCTGTGCTCGTCCTGTTGGATCTTAGTGCTGCATTTGATACAGTTGACCATAATATTCTTTTAGAAAGACTTGAATATTTTGTTGGAATTAAAGGGACAGCACTAGACTGGTTTAAATCTTATCTATCTGATCGAATTCAGTTTGTTCATGTTAATGATAGATCTTCAACACGCTCAAAGGTTACCTGTGGAGTACCACAGGGATCAGTGCTAGGACCAATTCTCTTTACTTTATACATGCTCCCAATTGGTAGAATTATTAGACAGCATGGGATTAATTTCCACTGTTATGCTGATGATACCCAGCTATATCTGTCTATAAATCCAGATGAAGCTAACCCATTACATAGATTACAGGCATGTCTTGAAGACATAAAAACCTGGATGACTCTTAATTTTCTGCTTCTGAATGCAGACAAAACAGAAGTTATAGTCTTTGGACCAGAGTCTCTGAAAAAGAAACTGATTAGCCAGTCACTTCATTTGGATGGGATTAAACTGATTTCAGATAATAAAGTAAAAAATCTTGGTGTTATTTTTGATCAGGACCTGTCATTTAAATCCCATATCAAAGAGGTTTCTAGAATATCCTTCTTTCATCTGAGGAACATTGCAAAAATTAGAAATATCCTGTCCAGGGGTGATGCTGAGAAACTAGTCCATGCATTTGTTACTTCAAGGCTGGACTATTGTAATTCTTTACTATCAGGAAGTCCACAAACTGTAGTTAAAAGCCTTCAGCTGATCCAAAATGCTACAGCCAGAGTTCTAATGAAAATTAAAAAGAGAGATCATATCTCGCCTATCCTGGCTTCTCTTCATTGGCTTCCTGTTAAATCAAGAATAGAATTTAAAATCCTCCTTCTCACATATAAAGCCTTAAATGGCCAAGCTCCATCTTATATCAGAGATCTGATTGTTCCTTATGTTCCTAACAGAGCACTTCGCTCTCAATCTGCAGGTTTACTAGTGGTTCCTAGAATTTCTAAAAGTAGAATGGGAGGCAGATCTTTTAGTTATCAGGCTCCTCTCCTGTGGAACCAACTACCAGTTTTAGTCCGTGAGGCAGACACCCTGTCTACTTTTAAGGCTAGGCTTAAAACTTTCATTTTTGATAAAGCTTATAGTTAGGGTGGCTCAGGTTATCCTGAGCTATCTCTATAGTTATGCTGCTATAGGCTTAGACTTTTGGAGGACATAGGGACCCCCATTTCATCATTCTGCTTCATTCTCTCTCTGTTCTCCTATTCTGCAGAATCTGTTAGTTCAATCTCTAACCTTCTGCTCTCTCTGCTTTTCCTCAGAGTAGCTTTGCCTCGTCTGTTCCTGTTTGGCTGTGACGTCATCCTGGAAAAAAACATCAGCTGTGCTGCTTCTATCAACACCCTTGTTAATAGATGTTGGAGATCGGCCTGTTTTCCAGTGTGGTCCTGTTTCTCTGACCGTGACTGAGTGGATGTGCTCTCTTCGTCCTCTGGCATGGGAGCTGCCTTGGAGCTCGTCTGCCTGGCTGTGTGTTTCCTGGACGGGGCCGCCTTTTACAGCTGCTTTTTGTATCTCTGCTTCTGTCTCCTTGAACCCCAGTCGGCCTCGGCAGATGGCCGCTCACACTGAGCCTGGTTCTGCTGGAGGTTTCTTCCTGTTAAAAGGGAGTTTTTCCTCTCCACTGTCGCTACAAGCATGCTTAGTGTGGGAGATTGTATTTGAGTCAATGAGTCAATGCAATCAACTGGTTTTCCTTAGATAGAAAACTTTGTATCAATTTGACTGTATGATCTGGTTGAACTGTAAAGTGCCTTGAGATGACATGTGTTGTGAATTTGGCGCTATATAAATAAACTGAATTGAATTGAATTGAAACTGAATTTATAATGGAAATGCAGCTATTATCTGGATAAAATATGGATTCATTACAAAACTTACACAAACTTAGATAGAATTTGAAGGACTCACTATATATGAAAACTGAAACATTTTCCAAGAAATTTACCAGGTTTTGCTTTTATTTTCAAAAAAAGAAAATTTTTGATTAATCACGGGAAAGGATTTTGGTCACGTCCAATGTTAGCAACAATAAACATCTAAAACCAACCCCAACAAAACAACCTCATAAAAATATGGTAATGAAGCATGCTGTGGGGTTATTTTGCTTGAGAGAGAATGTGGGTTCATGTCAGGATGAATGACCAGATCTAAAACTTTCTCTGAAGATTAAGAGGGATTTAGATTCTTTCTTTAGCCTCAGAGTTATGAAACTAATATATTCCTTTTAGCCTCAGATAAAATAAAACAAAACAATAATGAAAGAACAACTTCTTCTAATAATTTTTTTAATGTATATCCCAGGTATAGTTTTTTTAGCAGCTATTGACAACAATGATAGATACATTTAAAAAGATCAAAGGTTTTTTCTCTTATGATGATTTAGATTTTCATCTTCAGCAAGGAAGCCTGAAGCTGATTTTCTTACATGTTACAGCAATTTCTGAAAATTCTTCATTTCAGTTTCATCTAAGGTTTCACTACAAAACTGTCAAGAAACTGCTAATATATGAAAGTCTGCAAAACTCTGTAGACATTAAAAACAGGAGCAAAGGAGTCAAAGTCTAGCTGCTTCGGGATATCTTCATAGAACATTGATGGCTAAACTATTCTAATATGTCACCTTATGTCTGCTTGGAAAGTTATACCTATTCTACTTCAAACTCAGAAAGCAGCCAATATTTTTCAAGCAGTGCTGCCGACAGCCAAGTCCTGTCAGGATGCCTCACAGTACATTTATTTTAACAAGCACAGAGCTGTTCTCGCCAGGTGGGTCTCCTGGACTTTCTTTTTCCATGAGACAATAGGTCAGGTTTGATAGGCAAGGCTTTACATCAGCAAAGAGAATCCTTCTCATTCTGGCTGATGTCAGTGCTGCTGATATAAGATGCACTTCGGTTTACCTGCTGCTTTCTAGTTACGTATAATCTATAAAAGGACTTTGTTTCTTGAAATCATACATCTAACAAAGAATGCCCTCCCTTAATGCATCCTGAAAAACTCTCCACAAGCAAAAGTAATTCATCTATAAAAGTCATGACATAACCTACCTTTAAAAGTGGCAGTGGTTGCTGATTATGAGAATCACAGAGTTCGAAAGAGTATGCTTTTCCAGCAGCTCCAGTGAAAGTTTTCGGCTTTTATCACAAGGTGGGTGGAGCACAACAGGCAGCCAGACGAGAAGCCCCGGCTCTATACATGTGAGAGCAGAAGAAGGGGAAAACAAGAGAAAACCACCAGTGGAACGTTGTGTTTGCAGCATTAGGGGCTGAGCAAAAGGAAAGTGGGGGGAAAAAAAGGAAACCCAACCAGCTGCATCAACTATATATCTCGATGAAGAGGAAGATACTCGTTTAACTTGGACCTCTGTGTGCATTCTTCACATGCAGAAAGATTTAAAGGCAGGGTCTGACTTTGGTTAGCCAGCATTTGCTAAGGTCATATTCAAGCTGAGAAGGGGGGTTTTGTGGTTGTTACAGTACATTCGCAAGAGTTCATAAAATTATCTCACCAGAGGGCCCTATACCAAACTGTTACATAGGTCAAATGACCACTTTTCTCAATACAAAGAAAAAACCAAGTGTGGTTAAAATTCCTCCTTGAATTGTGAAAATCTTTTTTTAACAACTAGGGGACGACTTTGATTGTATTTCTCAATGTTTTTATTAAAACCGCAGCTAATTAGGACAAAAATCAGCTGAGGGCCCTGTCATACCTTGTCGATTGTATGCCTGACGTCCCAGAATCTCTTATAACGCTGGTATATGCTTTTCTGTATTTTTCAGTTTTGGGCTTATACATGCAAGCGTTTTTGCCAGATTTTCCATATGTCAGACATAGCCTGGTCTAAATAGTGAAGGTGTGACAGGGGCATGAGGCATAACCAATCTGCAGTTGTTCTAGTGAACCATTGTGCCAGGTGGGGCTGTCTTACGTCATGTGCCAAAATTCAGCAAAACTAGATTTATCACCTCATAAAAGAAAATTTGGTAAAGAAAAGCGCTGATAACTACTATAGTTTTCCGTCAGCCTTTAAAGAGTTTTGGATCATTAACATCAACACTGAGTATAATCAACAATGAGTAAAGCAAACTATGCATAAGGTACAGAGGTTATGGAGGTGACGACTACTTTTGTAATTGTGGATGACATGCAAAAGGGTGCTGGAAAAGGACTTTTTTGTTTTCCAAGGATATTAGGGGCGGAGGAAGAACTTATATGTTTCCTGAAGCATTTTTCCACCAGATGTTGCCATGTTTGATAGAAACAAAGCTCTGTAAAACCAAAAGCATTTGAGAAAAAAACTTATTTCAGCAAGTTTTTTTTTTTTTTTTTTTTAATTAAAGCCTCCTCCCTCAAAGGATTTAGGAGAAAAAAAATATGAGCATGATTGACCTACTTTTACACAAGGTGAAAATGGCTTGAACAAACCTTTCAGCTTGGTCAGGCTAATCTGGATTATTATTTCTTTCTTTTTTGTGTCCTTTTTTGCCAATATAGCTCTGGGAATAGGTGGCCCAGAGCTAGCTGATAGCCAATCAGCTTTGCTTTCTCAAGCATGATTGTTGCCATAAAGGTCTGTTTGATATTTGCACTGTATATGAACCTTCATTAAAAAATATTTAGGTAGAGAAGGAAAGCAGACATCAGAAAAGGACAAGAAGCCCCAGAGCACAACCCCTGAGTGGCCAAACCTCAAAGGGGCCCATCCCTGAGGGGGGCGAAATAATGCTCAGGTTTTGCTAAGCTATCTCTATAGTTATGCTGCTATAGGCAAGGCAAGGCAAATTTATTTGTATAGCACAATTTAGTACAATGACAATGCAAAGTGCTTTACATGATTAAAATACAGGAAGATAAAACAGAATCAAAGCAAGTAGGAAAAAAAAATGCAGAAACAAAAAAGAATATTGAAAACAGTTGGGTTAGCATTTGATCAAAAATTTCTCCTTGGGCAGTTGACAATTCCCCAGAACCTTGCCTTTTGTTCTACTACCATAGAACTGCAAAACCTTTCCCATTATCTACAGGTAATTTAACTCTGCCCGATATGAAATGTAACTCTGCCCGATACACACCAATCCTATGGTGCCAACCTGGATAACTGGGGTGGATCCCACTCTACATTACCGACGTCTCAGCTATAGACTTACACTGCTGGAGGACATAGGGAACCCTTTTCATCACTTTGTAGAAACCCAGAAACTGGGCTGCTACCGTCAACAAGATGGGTGTTTTTTAGTCGTGTTTCTCTCCTAGATTCTACTGTCAACTATCTATGTGCTAAGGTACGTTCTTTTTGTCATGAAAACTGGCTCAGTGCTCATCTGCTTAAATGTTTCTTTCCTAGGCAGAGCCATTAATGGAGCATTTTTACTTTATCTATACTAACAGAGTATTTATAAATCAGTGCTTTATGTTCCTTTTGGATATTTGCTTTTATCTTTTTGAACCTTAGCAACCCTTGGCAGATGAGACTCACACTTAGCCACACTGCATGCATGCTTTGTATGAGGGATTGCTACATAGTCAAAGAAACAAGTGAATCCTGCAAAGTCAATAACAAAATGAGACTGACTACATATATTGTCCCTGTAAAGACCCATAAGAAGACATGTGTTGTGAAATCATGCTATATAGAATAAACTGAGTTAAAGTGGAAAACACTGAGGAATATTAGACTTTCACAGCTCATTGTAGTTTCCATCATTTTTAAAAGTGTTTTACGTGGTTTTAATGACTTTTATTGCATGCAAAGCAAACATAAAAGCAGCTATAAGGAGGTAGAGTTTAACTTATTTATCATCTAAAACCAGTGTTTTAACCTCTTTTCCTGCAGAATACAGAAAAGATAAAAAAAATTCTGTTTAAAACTCATTGCCCTCATATTACAAAATATGTTTCCCTCTAACAATGGTGGCTCAGGAAGCAGATGTTGTGTCTGTCCTGTATCCCTGTCCGGTCTGTCCAATTCAACTTTCTATGCAGAAAGTAATTATATGATTTATTTAGTTTTTTCTTCTTGATTTTAATATATAAGGACAGAAGGAAAAAATATTATTAATAGTGCTTGGAAGGACTTTGCAGGCAAAAATGATTGTTTTTACTGCTCTTCAGACTTTAGATAACCCTTCTTTGGAGGAAAGAAAGTTAGGAAGAGCTAAACATTTGTATCTTTAGAAAAACATTCTCTACAATTTTTCACTTCTTTTCTGCATTGAAATAACAGCCAGACGCGTTAAACAGAACATCTATACTACAAACAGCTGGTTCCCATTAAAGGAAAAAAAAAAAAAATCCCTTTTCGTTTGATTAGGCTGCTATTTTTGATTCAAGCAGGCCTTCTAATGCACGAATTGCTTTTAGAGAAAACAGTTTGTTTTTTTTCTCTCTTGGCTGATTTCAGGGATTGCAATCAGTTAGTTGCACAATGTAAACCAGCACTTGCTAAAGCAATTTCTAAAGCAAATAATCCTACGTTTTAGCCAATATTAGGTGGAAGAGACAGAAAGAGACATTTAGACCTCAGATTTTAAAGCCTCAAAATATGTTACTAGTCATGTTTGTTGCTCTTACTTTGACTTTAGATCCTGTGAGCACAAATCTGTTTTTCCAACATAGAGCAAACAGTTAGCAGCTTGGAAATGCTGACCTCATACTTGTCCACATACTGAATCCCTGTTCAGAAAAGTTAACATACAGCTTTCCATTTATATTTTTGGGTGAGCAGCATGAAAAGCTCAGTTACTCTTCTACTTACATGTTTCCTGGTCTACAATATGCTTTTTTCGATTGTGAGTAGGATTTTGATTAAGATCTGTTTTTTGTGATCTGAAAATGTTCTGAAGGTGAATTAATCACTGAGATCACATAAGAGATATGTTACTGGTATATAGACAATAAAAAAATAGAAAATCAAAACCAAAAAACAAATTGCTCTAGGATTTCCCAGGCTGTGAACTTTCACTATTAGCAGAACACCTTAAAACAACCAGAAAAAGATAGAAATGTATTATATAAAAAAAAAAGTAATGTATAGGCTGCATTTTTCAGGACACTCTTTATATTCAGGGATCGTACCAAGCCTTGAAAGGACAAGGTACTATAATGGAAATAGCAATGAGGGGAACAGTTACTCCTCAACATCGAGTATTTAAAGCTTTGCAAATCACTTACCTTTTAGCTGTTCTCTCCATTTACAGCTTACCAACTAGATTGCCACAAAAAAAATGCAACTTTTTTTGCATCTACTTAATCATATTTAGTTACCTTAACACAATTGTTTTATGTTCCACATATTGTTTAATGTCTCCTAAAAATGTATTAAAGTAACTAAATATGAGGTAAATGCCAAAAACGTTGCATTATTTTTTCAATAAAGGTGTCTGTAATGAGAAAAATGTATCCGAGCTGAAGTGAATTTACTGTGACTGAATCTGAGAAATTATTTCTAAAGAATTAAGTTATATAAGGTATCTTTACAGAAACATATCAAGTACTGAAGTCAAAAATATTTCTTCCACATACAAGATATTGTCACTTTTTCAAAACAGAAATTAAGTCCTACAAGGCAATCTTAAATTCATCCACTCAACAAGAAAACAATCTAGCTAAGTTTACAGCATTTAATTTGATTTATAACAAACTCATTAGCCAGCGGTCTTCTCAAGAACCAACGGGACAGGAAAAGACTTCACTTCTAAGTTTGATAAAATGCTAACTTCACTGCCACTTTTTCATCAATTTAATACCCGACTTGGTATCCTGTTTCCCTGCAGTTTATGTCACGATTTGGTTAAAAGGTTTAGATTGGACCCAAACACAGAAGCTGGGAGGCAGAGGTGAATTCTTGGAGGGTTTATTGCAAGATAAGGCAACAAAAACAGGTATCCAAAAATCCAACTTAAAAAATGGTAAACAAAAACAGGAATCCAAAAATCCAACTTAAAAAATGTTTAACAAAAACAGGAATCCAAAAATCCAACATAAAAATCAAACACTAACCAGAACCATGGAGACATCAGGGAAAAACCAACAAGGAGCCAGGGTGAGGAAAGGTAAAGACGAGGAACCAGCAAAGAGGGACTGCAGAGGGAGTGTATTTATGGCTGACTGAACAAAGGTAGAGGTAATGAGCTGATAGGGAACAGGTGTGATTAGAGCTGACGAGGAAGCCAAGGGAAAAGAACACAAGGAGGCAGCAGGGGACAGACAGAAAAACCTA